TTGATATTAGAGAAAATGAATATTGATAAAGTTTACCTTTATGTACAGAATCTGAATATCGCAAAATATTTTTAAAAAATTGCAATAATATCGTATCGTGCGTTAAGTATTGTGATAATATCGTATCGTGCGTTAAGTATTGTGATAATATCGTATCGTGGGATGTGTGGTGATTCCCACCTCTAGTAATGACAATAGAGTTTGTTGCCCTACTTTTACATGGGATTTTGCCTTTTTCAAGTGCTTAAAATTAGGAACATTTTAATGTGATTAAACAATGAAATTACCTATAAACAAGGTCAATGGATGCAGCAATATGAATAATAATACTTAAATGTACAGAAATATACAGTTAACAGTTGGTTTAAATAATAATGGATTGCATTCATGCAGCGCTCTTTCAGACCCTCAAAGTGCTTTACTATTCCCCTCTGGCCATCACCAGTAGGCGAAGTGTCTTACCCAAGGACACAACGACCAAGAGTGTCCGAGCCGGGGCTCGAACCAGCAACCTTCTGATTATAAGGCAAACCACCAACTCTTGAGCCACGATCGCCCTAAATAACAATGTTAATGATAATAATAATAATAATAATTATGTGATGTAAAAAAGTTTATAAGAATCATTTTCTATATTTTTCCATAGCATTACATTTGAATTCAACAGTTCAATCTTTCAAATAGAGTAGTAGAGAGTAGTGAAGAAGAGAGTGCAGACAGGGTGGAGTAGGTGAGATGAGGGTCAGGGGTGATTTATGACAGAACAAACAGATTTACAGCAAAGGATGCTGAATGCTTGCTATCATGTACGACTTGGGGAAGGTGGTGGTTATAACAAAAAACTGGAGGTGGAGATGCAGAGGGTCAGTGTGATGGAAGACGACGCTGGGGAAAGGGTGAGAAGGAGGCAACCCATAAAGGGAGCAGCCAGAAGAAGAAGATGGATGGTTATTGGTGGTTTTTGCCATCTTCCATGCAGCATGGTTAGTGATGAGAGCTCAATGACAACATGAGTTTTATTATTTAAAACAAAGTTCGGTTAAAAAAATCCTCATTAAAATCTTTAAATTCCTTTCCTTTATGAAAT